CTCCACCCTTAAAGACGGCGAGAGTAGAGGGGTGGGGGTGGGGGTGGGGTGGGATGGGCCTGAAGGATATTAAAGAGACACAAAAGCTGCCTCCCGAGTGCCTCCTAGTCTTTAAACAAAGTCAGGGGCCAGGAGCCTGCGAGGGAAATGACAATGAGCAAAACCCCTCCTGCTCTGACAGAGGACTGCGCGAAGAGTGACTGGCCTTCCCAGGGCGCAGGGAGCCTGCCGTCCCCCTGCTGGTTGGTGGAACCACCATCTACCAGCTTAAAACTCCCTTCTCTCACCAGTGGTGTCTTCTATTTAACAACTTCCACGCCCTCATCCTGTCATTTATAGCAGCAGACCCCAACCTTCCAGGGACTGGCCTCATGGAAGACAATTCCTCCATGGAGGGATGTGTGTGTGGGGGGGGAAGGAGGAGTTGATCCTACGATGACTGAAATACACCATGTCCACGGTGAACCCCGTTTCCACCACTACCGCATTGCAATATATAATGAGACATCACACAACAGGGTTTCTGCTCCTATGGCAATCCAATACCAATGCTGATCGACAGGAGGCGGGGCCAGGCCACAAGGCCAGCGATGGGGCGTGGCTGCTAACACCGATGAAGCCTCACTCGCTAGCTTGCTTTCTCACCCCAGGACCAGCTGCACAGCTTGGCAGATGGGCATTGGTCTGCAGCCTGGTGGCTGGGGACCCCTGATCAAAACTAAGCACCTTGGGGGCCAGCAGGTGGCATAGTGATTAAGGCACTAGACTCCCACATGGCTGGCCACGGTTCAAGTCTGTGACCCAGCGGCTTGAAAATCACACCAGGCATGTGTGCGTGCATGCCCAAAATCCTGAGAGGAGAATGGAGGAGAGGGGATTATGGTGTAGCTATCCCCTCTGGGGGTGATTTCTCCCTTTCTATCTGTCTCTCTGGCAACCACATGTGCCCTATAGCAACAATCTCAAACTAAAACTAAGCACCTTGATTTGCTGTTCCAGGTCCCTCCCCGCTTCCAGCATTAACCCACAACACTCTGACGCAACACAATAAAGCACTCATCAACTGAGTGCTCTCTTCAGGCACTGCTCAACACTGCTTGGATCTATTAAATCCTCAAGCAGCCCTAGAAAGTGTTGTTACTCAGCAGACTCAAGTGGTGGAGCTGGGGTGTGATCTCAAGCAGGCTGCAGAGCCCACCGACTTAAGTCCCACCCTCTACGACCTTGAGAAATTAAGGAATCGTCTGACACACTCAAAACTCCTGCTTACATGCAGTCATCACCCTTGAATTTAATCATAAAATGCCTTCTGCTCCCTGGGTACCCTACAGGCCCAAGTTGAAATCCTGGCTGTGGCTATGGAAGTGTCAGACCGGCCAGCTGCTAGAATATGGGGTTGGGGTAGATGAGCACAAAGAAAGCCCCCTTAACAGGCACATGTGAGGGACCCCGCTTCTAGCGTCTGGTCAATGCTGGTTGAATGGGCACCCAGCTCCGTGCCCATGCAGCAGGGGCGGGTCTCTCTTGGAGCCTCAGTTTCCCCCTGGATACAGCAAGGAGTGAAGCAATCTGAGCTACTCCATCTCTTCCATATCACAAATCCCCTTTGACAATGAGTGATACAAACTCCAGAAAAAAACACGTGGATGTGATAAAATGTTGCATACACTTTCAGGGTGTCAGAGACCCCACTAGAAATCCCTAGTTTCCAGGTGTAGCTGTAGGAGGCAGTGTGGGGCACTCTGGGCTCCTAGGCTGGGGAGAGGAGGAGACGCAAGTTGGATTTGTCTGTTCCCCCTTTCTCCCTCCCACGCTCCTGGCTATGGGGCTTTACTCTCTCTGACCTCAGCCTTGACAGCTAGAAAGGTCATTTCCCCTAGCTGTCATGCTGGTGTGAGCACGATGGAGATACTGCAGGTAAGGGTTTAGCCAGGGCCGCACCATGATGGCCAGCCACCAAATAAGGACTAGCAGTACTGGAGGAAATGAATGTGGCCCCGTGGGGAACTTGTTAAATGTGGGTGACCGGGTTCCTGCCTAGGAAGTCTCCTGCAAGAGTGGGGTGGAGGTCACGCGTGCCCATTCTGGCAGGGCTTAGTTTGATAGGCACTATATCAACCTCCATAGTCCTGGTTCTGAAAAAAGTCTGACAGCTTCCCAGGTGGGTGTGGAAGGACAGACAACGGGTGCAGAGGTGAGGCAAGGTTGCGTTTCTGGGTGTGCCTCGGAGCTCTTGTTCCGAGGACAGACAGAACACAGGGTACACTCTGGTGGGTCTTGGCGTCCCACAGCGCCTGTCACCGTGCCCTGAGCGAGGACTAGCGACCTCCTGGCCAGGCTACCACAGGGAGGGCCTAAAGGAAAAGGCCTCCCAGGAGAGGGAACAGAACAGAAAGCGAAACCCTCCCGCCCAGACTTTCACTTTCGTTGCCTCCTGCGCGCTATCCAGATGGCCCAGTGATCCCTGGACGCAGACCCGTGAGGGTCCAGCTGCCACGAGTCCCAGCCCCGGTCCCCCCGCGCACTGCGTCCCAGTTGCCTGGCGGCCCCTAGTGGAAGGGGAAAGGGAAGGTCTCAGGCGGCTGGCGATCCATGGCCGGAGCCGGGGGTCCTCTGCGCCTCCGGGACTGGCTGGTGGAGCAGATCGAGAGCCGGCGCTACGCAGGCTTGTGCTGGGAAGACGCGGGCAAGACCCTCTTCCGCATCCCCTGGAAACACGCAGCCAAGCAGGGCTACCAGGCGCAGCAGGACGCGGCGCTCTTCAGGGTAAGGAAACAGGGGGCTAGGGACACCCAGCCCCAAGAGGGCTTTAGATGGGCATGATCCCAGCGCCTGGACCAATGGACACGCTGTGTGACCTCGGACCATTGCATGGCGTCTAGGGTCGTGTTCTGCATACACGATAGACCCTCAGACGCCCTCTTAAAACAATCGTGCATGGCCACCACGTCTACCTCCCAGGGGCCCTCCCCTCTCCTAACTCCACCGGAAAATTAGATGGCAGTGCTGATGATAATCCCTTCAACGTCCTGGCCCAAGGCTGCACGGCAAGGGAACCTCCAAAGTGCTGGGTGTTTCCTATGCTCACATCAACCCTTCTCAGGGACCTCTGCAGAGATGATCTCCCATCCCAGACTACCATTCATTTTCTCTTGTCTCCTTGCCAGTTTGCACACTCTCCCCTGCGCAATAAGCGGGCTCACAGCAGCCATTGCCACCACTCCAAACACCAAAGTGGCCTCCACTCTTCCTTTCCTGGCCTCCTCTCTGCTTTCACAGCATGAAGCACCTGGAGACTCTCCTCTTCACTAACCTCCCTCCGTTCCGCCCTCTCAATTCCCCCATCCCAGTCTGGCTCTCGTTCCTCCCGTTTATGTCTCTAGTTGCCAAATCCAAGGACGACGTCTTCATCTTCTTGACTCCTGGGTGGGTTTGCACCTGGTGGGCCCTTCCCCCTTCTTAAGACACTCTCCCCTGGTCTCCAGAATCTCTGCCTTCCCACCTCCACCACCCAACTACTACCACCAATGTTCCTCCCACCTCCCAGATCCCTGCTCCTTGCCTCCATGCCTTCCTTTCTCTGTTGGGGCTCCCAGCACTTATGGGCCCCCTCCTCAAGCCCCACCGTCCCCCTCCATGACTTCAGCATGGAGGCTCCCAGACTCCCCTTCAAGCCTACAGCCTGCTGGTTGAGCGGCCTCTCAGAAGCTATCTCTTGGATAGACCCCAAGCCCCTCAAACTCAATACGTTCCCAATATGACACTCCTCAGTTCACTCCCACAACTTCTGTCAGCCAGGGCCAGGCACCTGAACCCCGGCCACCCTCCCCTCTTCCATCCTCACATCTCCATGACCAGGGCTGCTTGCTCTTACTGCTGAATATCTCTCAGTCCATCCACTTGACTCCTTTTCCACCAGCTCTCAAAGGACAAGCACAGTGACCTCACTGGGCCCCTGGCTTCCCAGTCCCTCAGCACTTCCCTCAGTCCTCCAGAGGGATCCTTCTAAATGCAAATCAGGTCTAGATGCTCCTCTACTCAGAATCCTTCCATGGCTCTCCACTGCCCTTAGGACAAAGTCCCAACCCTTAGAATGACCTCAAAGCCCTGCAGGAACTGCCCCTCCCTGGCCATGTCTCTCTCCACCCTCCCTCCACCCCCCACTTTAGTTCTTTCAGTTTCCAGTGCTCTGTCACCATTAGACTTCTGCGTGTGCTGTTACCTCTGCTTGCAACCCCAGCTCTCCACCTTCACCCGGCCAGCTCCCATGGTCCTCGGCTTAAACATCTCTTCTGGAGAGAGCCTTCCCGGTGCATTTATTTATTGACTGCATTTATTAAGCTCCCACTCAGTGCTTGTCCTAAGTCATCTTTCACTCTACTTCCCCCACTGGAAAAACTTTCCCTATGAATTTTAAGTACTTAGTATGGGTACATCTCCTGGTATGAATCTTGTCTGGTAGGAGTGACACCAAGCATGGTGCCTGGCACACAGTAAGTGTTCAATAAGTGATGAACAGGTGGTTGTATGGCCTGTCTCTTAAAAATGATATGCTATTGCTCAGAGGAGGGAGATTCTGAGGGCTGGTCCTCCCCATCCTTTTGGCTGCTCTGACACATCCCTCAGTCTACCACACACATGTGACTCCTTGGCTTCAAATCCTCTGGTGCCCCAAAGCCCACTGGATAAAGCTTGGCCTTTGAGGACACTGATGATCCAGCGTGTCACCCTGTCTCTCCTTCGTTGATTGCGCTTCCTCATTCCCCCACATCGATCCTCATTACGCATGGGTTCCATATTTGTAAATTCTTCTACTCTCTAAATTTATTCAAAATCTTAAAATTATTACTTGAATTACTTTCATGGCCACTTGTAGATAGGCCGAGGGTAACAAAAAAATGAAGTCACCCCACGGCCTCTTTGCTCACAACCGTGCTTTGCAGATCTGTTCTTGTTCTCTGTAGCCCTAATCCACTGCTTCTAGACATTTCTAGACGCTGCAGACTCTGGTGCACATCAATCACACACACATACCCCTGTCTACTTCCCCAGAAATGGACACAAGTAATGCCAGTGTGGAGTTCCTTAACCAAGTCTCCCTGGGATCCCCTGGGAGGATTCTTTTGGAACTGAGATTTCTGCTCACAGGGTATGTTCTTACTACTTAATTCAACTAGGCATGCCAGAGGACCGTCCCGAAGTACGCATTCCGTGACCACAGGCAGTGTCTACATCCCACCAACACCTGGCATTATCCAGCTCACTGAGTTTAGTCAGCTCACGGGTGATTTCTCACATGTATGTTCTCGTTCTATGACAATGATGAGTTTAAGCCCCTCCTCAGATATTCAGACTTCTGGCTCCTCCTCCATAAGCCATCAATTCCTGTCCTTTGATAAGAATTCCTTTTTATTTTTAGGTTTTTGCACTAGGGCTTGTGTGCTTGAGAGAGAAGTCACACACACACACACACACCCCGGGGGGGGATGGCCACACTACAATCCCTTCTTTATTCTCCTCTAGGGATTGTGGGCCCACATGCACAAGCACCTGGCCTGTTTTTCGAGCTGCTGAGTCTGGGACTTGAACCACAGAGTCAACTACGTAGGATCTAGCACCTTAACTACACCATCTGCTGGTCCAGGAATTCTTTCTTTAGGAGATGCCATTTCTTGCTGATTTGTACAAGTTCTTTGTATGCTCTAGACCTTAGCTTCTTGCTAATTTCAGACATCATATTTTTTTTGCTTCTTTGCATCTGGTCCATGCCTTTCACATTTTGCTTAAGAAATATCCTTTAGGGGCCGGCAGGTGGCATGGTGGTTAAGGGCACCGGACTCTCACATGGCCAACCTTGGTTCCAGTCCCAGACCTGGCGGCTTGCTTTCTCTCTCTCTCTCTCCCTCCCACCCTCCCTCTCTGGTCAAATTAAAATAAATAAGGAAATAAAGTTAAATTTAAAAATTATTTTTTTAAAAAAAGAAAGAAATATCCTTTGCCCCTGTAAGATTGTCTCCTGCATTCTTGTCTGTAATTTTCTAGTTTCACTTCTTGCCTTGGGAGTTCGAAATCATCGGGAGTATGCTTTCTGTGTGACAGTAGGTAGGGAGTTGGCAGACCACTGCCACGACTTCACATCCCATCATCCTACTTATTCTTTTATTTATAACACCCCATTACTGGAATATTGTTATGGTTGATTGCAGCCATTTCTCCCATACACCTTGAGTTCTCCAAGAGCAGGGACCATGTCTGTCTTGTTCCCATTAATCCCCAGTCCTGCCTGGGGCCTAGAACACAGTATGAGGTCAATGATTATGTGCTGGATGGGAAGAGAGAGGGAAGGAAAGAGGGGAAAGGGAGAGAGAGGGCAGAAGTCTAGGTTGTCCTCATCCCACCGCATGGCACCAGCCCCCACCCCCAGGCCAGTCCTCCCCAAGTTCCACTGCTCACTTCTAGGCCTGGGCCGTGTACAAAGGCAAACACTTGGAGGGCACGGACAAGGAGGACCCCTCTATCTGGAAGACACGGCTCCGCTGTGCCCTCAACAAGAGTGCTGACTTCCGGGAGGTGCGCGAACGCAGCCAGCTGGACATCTCCAACCCCTACAAGGTCTACCAGATCGTGTCTGAAGGTACCAGCCTGTCCCCAGAGGTAGCAGTGGCCAACGCTGGCAATAAAGACTTCACTTTGCTCATCTGTAAAATGGGAAATGGTAGACTCATTGAGCTTAAACTCCTGGGCTGATAAATTTAGAAGGACCCTTAGACCACCCAGTTTATCTCCCCCTCCAAAAAGGCCCAGAGACAGACAGATCTTACCTAAGGTAATGCAGTGAGCTGAGATCCTCTCGTCTGGGGTCACCTGGGTTGAGGGGGTTCCTCTTGGGGCCTAGGAACACCACTCTCTCTCTTGCTCCATCCAGTTACCAGGGACTATGCTCCCTCTGAAGAGGAGGAGATCCCCTCGAGCCAGCAGGAGCTCCCTGGGGAAGTGACAGAGCCAGCCTGCAGGACGGAGCAGGTCAGTGTGTCCTCCCACCCCCTGTAGCCTCGTGGCCCCACCCTCTCTGACAAGGATCACGAGCACTTTCACTCCTCTCCTCCCTTCCTCCGCTCCAGCTCTGTCTCTGACCGGTGCTCCCACCAGCTCTTCTCATCGCACCTGCCCCGTCCCTCCCACCACCTTCGGCTCCATCACCTGCTCCCTTCACCTCCATCAGCTCTGGTCCCTCACTGTTCCCATCACCACCATCCTCTTCAGTTCTGCCTGAAGTCATTCTATTTTTTTCTGCATTCATGCTCTCCTCTATCATCCTTGGGATCATCGCTGTCCCTGCTCACCCCATCAGATGCAGCTCCATTGCCGTCCCCCTCACATCATCCCCTCCAGCTGCCTCACTGTTCACAGCGCCCCGTCAGCTCACCGTCACTCTGTCCCAGCCCTGTTAGCTCCACCCCATCACCTCTCCCCTGTCATCTGGTTCCTTGCTCTGTTCCCCCATTTCTGTCATCTCCAGCTCCGCATTCACCCTCAGCGCTGCTCTTCCTGTCACGGTGGCCCATCTCTGACCCTTTCACCTACAGCGCCTCCATGGACCCTCTTTACTCTCTTCACCTCCAGGGGGCAGGGGAAGCCAGAGCTCTGCAGCTGCTCAGTCGCACCTGCCCCAGCTGGCCTTCAGCCAGCCCTGCCCTCTTTCCGTCCTGGTGGGATCCTCTGGGAACTCCTGTGGCCCACGGGGCTCCTCTCCTCTCATCACAGCCCTCTCTCCCGATGCTCAGGATGGCTCTGACGTAGCTACCAAGGATGAGGACAAGGAGCAGGCCCCCAGGCTGGCCCCGCAGGACTCCCCGCCACCGGCCGCACTCCTCTCAGGCCCTTTGGCTGACCACAGTAAGGGCGGATCTCCTCACCTACCCTGCCTCTGCCCCAGCCTCCTCTTGACCTAGGGGTTGGGGGTCCAGTGTGAGGAGGTGCTAATTGCTCCTCCTCCTTCCCCAGGGTCCCAGGCATGGGACCCCAGATTCCCCAGGAGTGCGACACTCTCCAAAGATTTCAGCAACCCTGGTAAGGAGCTAAAAACCCTCCCCTCTGATCAGTGTGCAAAATGAGAGGGCCCAGGGGCACAGCCAGGTAGCCTTCCACCCTGAACCCCAGTGCAGACTCCCCAGTGACAACCACAGCAGCAGCTGCCATTGTGTAGGGCTCAGTGAGGCCGCGTCCCTCCAAGCCCTTCCCACAGCCCCGGGATGCTATCGTCCGCGCTTGACTTGCACAGAAACCAGGACACAGAGGGGAAGATCCTTGCCCAGGGTCACACCACTAATAACCCTTGCCCAGGTTCACACCACTAGTGACCCTGGGCAAGTTACTCCCAGGTGCCAGCTCCTAAGTGGCAGTGAGAGAACAGAATCCAGGGACCCAGAGCAGAACCCACAGCCCTCACCATCGCGGTGTCCTGCTGGCTTTTCAGAGGGACGCTGCTGTGTTGGTGCTGGTGGGGTTTCTATCTGCATTCATGTTTTTTGCTGGATGGAAGCTGCTAGAATCCCAGCAATCAGAGCTGGGAGGGCCTTAGGATCATGCCCTAATTGTACAGACAGCCCTAGAGTCTGTGCTTTTTAAATTCTGTTTAAGACTTCTTTAATTTTTTATTTTTCGTTGTTACTATTATTATTATTTTGGAGAGGTTTTTGCTATAGGGCGCGTGTGCTCGCCAGAAAGACAGAGAGAGATAGAGAGACAGAAAGCGAGAAATCACGCCCCCAGGGGGGATGGCCACCCGGCAATCCCTTCTCCTCCATTCTCTTGGAATCTTGGGCACACACGCACACGCGCCCAGCGTGAGTTTAAGACATGGGGTCCGGGACTCAACCGGCAGTCGACTACATGGGAGTCCAGCGACATAGCCATTACACCAACTGCTGGTCCCATTATCGTTATTTTTTTAAGGGAGATTTTGCCATAGGGTGCATGCTCTTGCCAGAAAGACAGAAACAGACAGAGACAGTTGAGAAATCACCCTCCAGCGAGAATGGCCACACTGCAATCTCAGGCAGGCATACACACACACCCATTGTGAGTTTTAAGCCCCTGGATCCAGGACTCATACCGCGATGGACCACATGGGAGTCCAGCAATGTAACCATTACACTATGTGCTGGTCCCCTTGTCACTATTATTATTAATTTATCTGAGAGAGAGAGAGAAAGAAAGTGAAAAACCAAGCGCCAGGTCTGGGATTTGAACCGTGGACGGCCATGTGGTCTGTGCTTTTAACCACAGACCTCAGCTACTGGTTAGTTTGTACTGAAAGCTATTATGTCCTACCAGTACTAGAATTATTATCTCTGACAGGGATAATATCCCCAGATCCCAAGGTGGAGGGGTCCCCGTTGTGTTAGGGTCGCGGCAAGGAGGAGCCAGCTCAGCCAACCCTGAGCCCACGCGTGTGCCGTTCCCCGGTCCACAGAATACTGGCTGCACGTGCGGCTCTTCTATGGCGCAGCGCTGGTGCACGAAACCACCGCGCGCACCTCCGAGGGCTGCCTCCTAAGCCCGCAGGCAGCCGCTGAGCACCTGTTGGGGCCACCACCGCACGTCGTGCAAGTTCTCTTCCCGAAGCCGCCGCCCGCCGCTCGCGCGCTGCAGCTTTCGCACCTCAAGCGCGCGGTACTGCTGTGGGTGGCGCCCGAAGGCGTGTTCGCCAAGCGCCTGTGCCAGGGCCGCGTGTACTGGCGCGGCCCGCTCGCCCTGCACCGTGCGCAGCCCAACAAGCTGGAGCGCGAGCGCACCTGCCAGCTGCTAGACACGCGCCGCTTCCTGGAGGGTAAGAGCGGCAGAGGAACGTGGACAGAGGTCGGTGGGCACACAAGATGTGGGCGCAGGGAAATGGGCTTACGGACTCTGGACATGGGATGGGCATGGAAAGAAAGGAGGTGGCATAGAAACAGCAGGAAGGGGAAGGACTGTGTGCATTGGGGGAGGGGCTGCGCCGTGGCTGGATGTATGTTGACGGGGGAGTTAGGCCCCAGGCAGGCTTGGAGCTTTGGTGTGAGGGGTGTAAGCATAGGGCCTGGGTACATGTGTTGCCATAGGGTCACTGGGAATAGGGTGGACATGGGGCATTGGGCGTGAGATAGGCATAGGTCAATGGCAGTGGGCGTGGGACGGCATAAAGGCATGGGCCACTGGAAGTGGGCACAGATGTGGGACATGGGGCACAGGGTCAGTGGAGACGTGGGCATGGGGCCTAAACCCGAGGTGGGCACTAGCTAGGATGCCTAGGTCCTGGCCCAGCCCCCACAGTCTCTGTGCCGGTAGAACTGCGTGCCCACCTGCAGGACGGCCGCCCGGAGCCGGAGTACCAGATCCGTCTGTGCTTTGGCGAAGAGTACCCAGGGCCCCCTGACAAGTCAGAGGAGCGACTTGTCATGGCCCACGTGAGTCCCTCCCTCCTCTCCAGAAGAGAACCTCCAAATGGCCCCTCACAGCTCCCTCCAGTCCAATATGGGTGTGGGGTGGAGGCTGTCACTAGTGTGGTAACTGCCCACTGGGAATGTTGGGGGCGGAAAAAGAGAGACTGTCTCATTGTCCCTGCATGTCCCCACAGGTGGAGCCAGTCTTTGCCCGGGAGCTCCTCCTGCACTGGAAGCGCCTCACCTGGGCACCTCGCTGCCCCACAGGGCCCCACCCTGATCACCCACCTTCTGACACAGCTCTCAGTGGGCCACTTCCTCATACTCCATAAAGGCAGCCCCTGTAAGGCGCAGACCCTTACCTCCACCCCAACTCTGCTCAGCTCACACTAAGCCAGTGGCCCTGGGGCCTCCCCCGACTCATCGCCCAGGTCGCTGGACAGCGGAAGTCCATCGTAACCTGCAAGCTGTCTGCCTCGAGCATGGAGCCCTCGGATTGTGCGAGTAGAAGGCACCGCACAGCCAGGTGTGAGGTGTCAGCCAGAAACTGAACTCGACCTTGAGGTGCAGGAACTGCAGCAATTGGGACAAAAAGACTTCCTCTCTCATTGAGAACATGACATGCCAATAACCGTTCACTTAGCGCTGACCTTGTCCTGCAGCTGAGCCCATTATAATGTTGACCCAAGGCCGAGATTACCAACAAGTCCATCCTCAGGGTTGTTTGGAGTGGGGACAACTATTCTAATGGGGAAGCACCTGGCTCTGAGGGACTCTGAGTTTCCACACCCTTCCTCGCACCTGCTGCTGGTCTCCTGTATTCGGCAGTCTCGAGGGATCCCAAAACAGAAGACTTAGCTTGAACCCTGGGCTTTAGAGGCTAACCGCCCACACCTGTCGGAAACTGCCTTCAAAGAAACTGAGGCAGGTCCCCAAACACAACCCTGAAGCAGAGGCCAAAGCGAGAATCCAGTCCCTCCCAGCATCCCACTGATCTTTGCAGACTCTAAGTTGTAGGGTACCCTGGAGGAAGAGGGGGTGGCGAGCATCTACAGTTACAAAGTTGGTTCCCAGTGCCTTGTGAGTGAAGTAACTATTTTCTGCTCCACATAGTAGACCTTTATTTCTCTTCTGGTTTCTGACTTTATTTAGAGAAATCCTCTTTGAGATGCCAGATGCCAACATAAGAAATCCATTAGTGATACATTAATAAGCCACTTTTATTGGGGTGAGTGAGGAACTATATGATTCAACAAAATACAGAAGTTGACAGATTGCTTTTTATGTTATTTTATTCTGGGATCAATTTTTGCTATAGGGCATGTACACTCACTGGAGAGACAGAGAGACAGAAAGCATGAAATCACCCCCCCAGGGGCGATGGTCAAATCCCTTCTCTCTACTTTCCCCGTAGGATTCTGGGCATGCACACACATGCATCTGGCACGAGTTTCAAGGGGCCAGGTCCGGGGATGTGAACTGTGGTCGATCAAGTGGAAGTCCACCATCTTAACCACTACGCCACCTGTTGGCCCCAATGGATTGATTTTAAAAATTCATCCTGCAGGGAACCAGTAGTTAATGTAATGGCTATGTCGCTGGACTCCCACATAGTCGACCGCGGTTCGCATCCTGGACCCAGTGGCTTAAAACTCACGCCGGGCGCGTGTGCGTGCGTGCCCAAGATCCCAAGAGGAGAATGGAGGAGAAGGGATTGCGGCGTGACCACCCCCCTGGGGGTTGATTCTCGCTTTCTGTCTCTAATGTCTCTGTCTGTCTGTCTGGCGAGCGCACACACCCTATAGTGAAACACTCTCAAAAAAAAAAATTCATCCTGCAGATGTTTATTCAACACCTATTCTTACCTGGTGTCCTGTGCTGGACCCTGGGATAGAGCAAAATAACATGATCCCTACTCTCTTGGGGTTCACAGCCTGTTTTCCAGTAGAGACCCCGTGGCTGTCCACTACCCCTGCCCCTCACAGGAAGGGTGGTATTAAGGAGTTACAGAATCCTAAGTTCAAATCTCAGCTTTGTCACTCACCAACTGTGTTACCTAAGGCAAGTTACTTAACTTCTCTGAGCCTCAGATTCCTCATTTATTCAAAAGAAGCTACGAAGAATTCCAGAGCAGGGTTGATCTGAGGAGTAAATGAAGGGAGGAAGTGAGCTGGTCTGGCAGTAAGTACCCACCGACTTGGGAGTGGAGAGCAGGGAGGATGCGGCCCACTGGGCAGCATCAGACAGCCTTGCAGTAGCTCCGAGCCCAAGGCTGCAGCTGGAAAGGAGCCCCAGTTCTGAGGGGCAGCCCACAGCCATGCTCCAACCCTCCTCAGTGCTAGGCTCTCAGAGGGCGCTGGATTCTGTGCAGGGGAGCCTGGGACTTCCTTACCATGGCCCAGGCGACTGAAGAGTCACCAGCTCCATTTCAGAGGGGAAGAAACTGAGATCAGCCATGGGAAGGCGATGTTCAGCCCAGATGGCTGTCCTCCCCACACTCATCACTAGAGGGCACCAGGGCTCAGCAGAACTGGGTTTAGCCAGCTGTCCTTGCCAGCCCAGGCATCCCTTTGGCAAATACACCAGAGCTAGGACAGCGGAGTGGGGCCCAAGGGCTCTGGGCTGTGGGAGGAGAAAGGAGACCACAGGCCTGGGGGGGCGGGGGGGAGAGGAACAGGAATTTGAGAAGCTCTAACTTGGAGCTCTGTGGAGACCACTCAGATCCTGCTCTCTCCTCTCTGCTCCCCTGCTTGTGTCCGTGCCTGTCTCTCTGCATCTCCTTTCTCTCTGTCTCTGTAGATGTCTTCATTCTGTCTCTCGGTGACTCTTTCTCCATATACCATTTGTCCCGTGTGTCTGTGTCTCTCTCTGTCTCTGTCCATTTTGTCTGTCTCTGTCTTATCTCTGTCTCATTTTTTATGTCTGTCTCTCTCTCTCGCTCTCTCTTTCTGTTATGTCTCTGCTCTACATGTCTCTGTCTCTTTCTTCTCTGTCTCTGTTTCTTTTTGTATCTGGCTCTGGCTCTGTCTGCTCAGTTTTACATCCTGTCCCTCCCCGGTCGCCACCACCCGGCACAAGTGGGCTGAGGGTCTCAGTCCTTTCCCTCCCACCTCCTCACCCCTGGCAGCTGCTCAGGCTTCTCAGTCCTGCCTCTCCTGCCCGCCCCTCTCAGGCCTTGGGGGAGCAGGGCCAGAGAGGAAGGGAGGGCAGCCTGGCGGGTCCACCCCTTTTTGCCTTTCCAGGCCGGGAGGCTGGGCCAGTGAGCCTTTTAACCAGCCCGGCAGGCTGTGCCGGCCTGAGCCCTGGACTCCGTGCCTGGCCCGTGGTCCGGCCGCCAGCCCGGCCAGCTCGGCCAGCATGCAGCAAGACCCCCCGCCCGCGCTGGCCCCGGCGGCTGAGCCGACCAAGCCTCCCTACAGCTACATCGCCCTGATCGCCATGGCCATCCAGAGCTCACCCGGCCAGCGGGCCACGCTCAGCGGCATCTACCGCTACATCATGGGCCGCTTCGCCTTTTACCGCCACAACCGGCCCGGCTGGCAGAGGAGCATCCGCCACAACCTGTCACTCAACGAGTGCTTCGTCAAGGTGCCCCGTGATGACCGCAAACCAGGCAAGGGCAGCTACTGGACGCTGGACCCCGACTGCCACGACATGTTCGAGCACGGCAGCTTCCTGCGCCGGCGCCGCCGCTTCACCCGGCGGACAGGTGCTGAGGGCACCAAGGGCCCAACCAAGACACGCCGGGGCCCCCTCAGGGCGACCAGCCGAGACCCAGGAGTCACCGACACCACCACCGGCAGGCACGCCCCCCTCCCGGCAGGCACTGCCTGTTCCTGCCAGAGCTGCCAGACTCCAAGGGCCTAAGCTTGGGGGGTCTGGTGGGGGCCCTGCCAGGCAGCACGTGCCCCACAACCACCGATGCCAGGCCTCGGCCCCCCACGCGGCCC